AGCAGGAAAATGGATTTCTCCTCATCTTTATCTGGAACACACTGTTGCCAAACCCTGACATCCACCAAATCCCATTATGCCAGCACATCAGGTTGTAAATGCATTTCATTTTATATATGCAGCTGTGCTAGCTGTACACTCTGTTCTATCCTCCATGCCCATTGTCCCCCTGGAAGGCACAGCCCCTAATACAAACACATCCCAAACTGATCCAGCAACAGCAGGTTAACAGAGACTTAGGATTTTTACCATAGAAATTAACCCAGCACATTCTGACTGGAAGTGTAAGGCAGCATTCATGTGAGCAATTTAACAGTTGATCCAAAGTGAGCACCATCTCCAGCAACAGGCACCGAGAAACAGCACAAATATTTGCAGACCTCTGCCCTGACAAGAGGTAGTGGCTTTAAACTAGAAGAGGTGAGACTTAAGATTAGATATTAGAAGAAATTATTCACTGGATAGTGAGACACTGGTCCAGGCTGCCTAGGGAAGTTGTGGCTACCCCATCCCTGACAGTGTTCAAGGGCAGGTTGGATGGGGCTCTGAGCAGGCTGGTCTGGTGGGAGATGTCCCTGCCCATGCAGGGGGGTTGGAACTAGATGATCTTCTAGGTCATTTCCAACCCAAACCATTCTATGACATGATATGATATGATCATCAGATTCTTTCAAAATACCAGACAGGCAGCTTCATTTTCCTGGTTAAGTATGTTAGTATCTGTGTAAACAGAAATTAAGCACATACGAACTACTAATCCATTTTCTGCCTTTTTTTTTTTTTTTGCATCACCTACCACACTTCCATGCTCTCCCTAAATACAAGCAAATACTACTAGGATCTAGAATCAGGACTCAGACTGGTAAGACAGCTGTGGGTATCAACACATTACATTAGATTAAAAACAAGGAAAATTAACATAGGTGGACATTTTCTAGAGGGAAAAAAACCAAAAATCTAAAATGTCAATTCTAACTACACTGAATACCCAGCATTTCTGTGTCCTTGAGCTTAAACAGCTTATCTCCTTCCTCCATTCTCAAGTGGTTGCACTCTCCAGGTACCTCACCCATTCTCAGCATTTGTTCAGTGAGCTAAAACACAGCCAGGTGGTGTGACCTTCCAGTCCTGCTTTCAGTTCTTCCACCCTGCCCTGGCTTGAATTCCTTTCCCTCTAAGAAGACTGTGTCCAGTTAGAAATTAATATTCATACTGGGCCTTAAGCTTCTCCTAATTACAAGTTATACTGTACTTCTCTTCCTGAAGTCTTCATACAGGAGACATACAAGATCAAAATTAAAACAATTTTATCTACCATGTCCTAGTAATGTATACGTACCCAAATACATTGACACTCCAGCAGACTAGTAGGACCTTCTTCTCATATTCCCTCATAAACTTAAGAGATTTACAAGATATCTCATAAGAATAATTTCAGTGACAGTGTTTTAGCCAGTACTATATGGCCTAACAGTAAAAAACACTATATCCACTCACCTGAAGATATTAACAATTAACTGCAAAGTCGTTTGCTGAACTTCTGTATTCAGTTTCTGCTGCCAAGCCCTCCTACACATCTGGAGTTCACCCAGATCTGTGCTGGCTCGGAGGTGGCAAAGCTCTAGATCATAATGCAGCTGGAGACTCTCCACTCTACACAGAAAAGAGAATTATCAAGTTGCATCCTAACATGAACAATTTCTTTTCATACCTTTTAAAGAAAAAAAGTCATTTAGGCTTCATGCATCTTACAGCTAGAGGAAATGCAAAGGTTGATCTGCAAGTATTGACAAGCTAACAAGACTCCTGGAGGTCCTACCAACACACGTAAATCATAGTGCACTCAGCTGTCCTTGTAAAGAACAATAAAGTTTATAGGACAATCCATATCAGCAATAAAAAAGAAATAGGTATTCCAGGGTGTTGAAAAATAATATGGTTATTACTATGACAGCTTAAAGTTACCTGTATATGAACAGACATTTTCATTTGCTCTTATCAAAGACAGTGCTTTTTTAATTAATGAAATTATATAATAAAAAATAATACAAAATAAAAAACTTAGGAAGAGGGTCAAGCATTATTTATGCACTATGATAAACACAACTTCAACATCTTTTCACCTTTTTATGAAAGTTTCTGCTGCTTGTACTGGAATATCTGGAATTTCAGGATCCTCTTCAACCATTCTTGAATGTGTAATATCTCCATTATCAATATTAATTAGAATTAAGTCTTCAGCTTCCTTTTAACAAAAGAATACAGAATTACTGTGAATATATTCATATTGTAAAAATATTTACTATTTCTTTATAAAGGCCTTAGGCAATTAATTATTTCAGAAAGAAAATAAACCAGAAAACAATCAACTTTTTCCCCTCCCAACTAGAAGATCATATGGATAATTAAACAATGGCTTTCAGGAAAAGTAAGAGTCATTATATTAACAGATATTAATCTCCAATGAATTTGGTAAACTAACATGTTCTCCATAAAGTATTGAATTAATACTGGATCTCCAAGCTTATCCCTGAAATGTATACACACAAAGACATGTCAAAACCATATATGTGCATGTAAAGCAGCTCTCTAAAAGCTAATTTACAGCACTGACCTCTGTGTACTTACCCTATGGGGTGACTGGGAGAGGGAGAGTTTCTTTTAGAGTCTCAAACAGGGAAACATATGTCAAGGCACAAAGAGTCACATGGAGGTGAAGCCAATGCTGATCTTTCAGTTTGCAGTTTTAATAGATCAGCTTAAAGATCAGCTTGTAACAAACATAAAATCTTTCAAATTATATGAAAGAAATGTCTGTTTTCTCATCTGTACTTATCTGTGATAGTGACAACATCTTACTGCTAACTAAAAAAGTAATTTTAAAATTACCTAATTTTTCTTAAAGTAATTCTTTGCTCATTCTGGACTTGACTAGATGGAGAGTTTTACTTTGTCTTCTAATCAGATGGATTAATCTAACAGAATTTAACACCATTTCTCTGTGTTTGGTTCCAAACACTCACAGAAAACCTATGCATACCCTCAAAAAAAGTGTGTTCACATTAGCCTTGCCCTGTGAAGATAAGTTTTCTTAAATCTTTTAGAGTAACCAAGATTATTGTTATTCATTGAAAGAGAGTTATTTAAGTTAGATTCTGAAAAAAAAGAAGACCAAAAAAATCCTCAGAAAAATGGTAAGATTCTATTCTTTACATTGTTTTTTCTTTCTTATTTTATTAAACACTTAGCTTCACCATGAAAGTGAAAAGCTTAAGTGGGAATAGTGTAAAACATACCGTGCTAACTTCTTCATAATGATCAATGTGACATCCCATAAGAAAAGATGTTGGGGCCATCACAAAATCCAGCATCTGACGGGACAGAATGGGCACAAAAGTGTGTTGCCACTGAAGAGGATGAAGGTACAACATAAAGCATTCAGCAACGAGGGTCAGCAGAGCCCAATCAGAGGAGAAGAAAACTATTCTCTGCTCCGTCAAAATACAGGTCATAACCTGGAAAAAAACATGAGGCTACAGGTTTATGAAGAGTTAAAGTCTAGAACATACAAGATACGAGCAAATATTTCATCTGCTTCATGAGTTGTGTTTTCTAATAGCTACTTTAAATGTTTATAAATAAAATTAACAAGAGAGGAAAACAGAAAAGGAGAAAAAAAAGTGATGCTAAAAGTCAATGAGAGTTTTGCCATCAATGTCAACATTGATCTCAGTGGAGAGCAGTGCTTTCAGAGAGCAAGTCAGGAAGCTGTCTGGAGATGGCCTCCCTTTTCCACTGATAGAGAGGGCCCAATGCCATCTAAGCACCAAACTCAGGTGCCTCAAGTTAGGTGAGATGAATCCAAGCCAAGAAGAGTAAAGGCACATGTGGGACATCTAGCAGAGGTGCTAACACACAAACCCCACACTCAAGACGTACCAGTTGCAAGAGGATAATTTAGGATTCGAGGTAGTTTTGTTCCTAACATGCACACATGGACAGAAGTCCACATGAGTAGAAGAATAGGCCTATCCAAAAAAATAAGCCAGTATTGTCTGCTTTCTGGACAGAGGAGGTTAGTCAACCCTGGACAGAGGCCTCCAACCTGCTCATTTTAGAGGAAGAGGCACCAATAATACTCACGACCTTAAGCAACATAATTTAACATTATAGGTGGCCTTTGAGCAGGGAATTTCATCAGGAAATGAAAAAAGGATACCCCAAATCAAAATTAATGTATGATTCTATTAAGAACTGAAAAATTCTTTGCAGATAGCTTTTGGTATTGTCTTTCTACACCATTTCCACTATGAGAAAATCAATTCTTACCAATCCTTCCTACAGTAGCTCACTGTCTTACACATAAAAAAGATTATTATGGATCATGTAAAAAATGCATTTTATGAGAATTCAAAACACCATCTGTCAATCAGCTTGAGCACTTACATTTTAAAATATATGCTTAAGAAATGTAGCAGCTATTGCTAAACCACAGGAGAAAGAAATCCAATGTGCCTTAATCTAATCTGGACTATAAATAACAAAACATCTCCATAAGAAGTTTATTTTATTGTGTCATATCTCTAATACATAGAACTAACACTATTCTGAATTCCTGGGTTTAAAATGGGAGTTTTTGTAAGTAAACATCTTGGGGGTTTTTTAAAGCACAACATTACCACTACTGTAAATTTCTAATACATTTTAAAACATCAGTTAGTTTTACCTGCAGCACCTGCTTTGGCTTGAAACACAGCAAAGGAAGATGAAGATCCAAGTCAATAATTGGACTGTCCGGATCCTCTCTTGAAGGAATTATTATTTGAAGTGGTTTCATATTAAATACCTGTAATAACAGATGTTTTACATTTACTTCTTAAGGAAAATGTTCCCACAACACATTTAATTTGGGATTTTTATTCCGACTACAAAATATTAACATTAATTGAGATCAAGAAGACTGATATTTGCATACTACAGATAACTGAAAGGAAAATATTAAAAGACATAATAGCTGCCTTGAAATACTAACATGGACTTTGTCTACTTCAATTCTCATAGGCTGTTTAGCCAGTAAAAAAATATATATATTTTAAAATAATTAAACTTGCTGTGTTATAAGCATAATAAAATAATGCTTTGTAGGTACAACTGAAAAAAAATCAAAATTGTGGTAAAATTCATACAGGAAATAGAAAAAATATGAACAGAAGAACTGAGCAAAGGTGTTCATGTTAGGAAGACAGAACAAGTGAAAACAAATTAATTCTTTCAGTGTTTCAGATACTCCAGCTCAAAACTCTGGGGGCCAGATCCTGCACGTGCTGCATATTTCAGCACTTACTAGCTCATTTAGTCAATTTTTCAGACAATCTTCCGGATATGCTGTTTCTGACTTCACTCCTAACTCCTCACCCCAGAGTCAAGGAAGACAGCTAAGGAGAAATCCATGGCTCAAGCTCTGCTTCCCTAGAAGCCATTTTAGTAGACAAAGAGAGTGTGCTGAAATCCCCGACTCAGCTTGATTTGGGATGGGTTATAAAGAAGAAAACACAGCCCACACATCTCAGATACTAACACTGAATACAAATGTTTCTGTGAGTTGCTTCTCTCAGCTAGACCTTGATCAGGCAGCAGCCACTCAGCAGAACACTTAATCCACTACACACTGTTCTGCTTCCTCAGAGCCATTCAGACAAAAGAAAAGAACAAGCCCAGAAGTGTACGCATTGTTCCGGCAACTGGCTTATTTGGTGTCTTCTCTTTCACAATGACTACACTACTTCCCAGTCCCATCACTGCACGTCTGCCTGTCATACAATCAAGATGACAGTCATGAGCATCAGGTGACTTGTATCAGTATTGTAGAATAGTTTGGGTTGGAAAGGACCTTTAAAGGTCACCTAGTCCAACCCTTCCTGCAATGAGCAGGGACATCTTCAACTAGATCAGATTGCCCAACACCCCATCCAATCTGACCAATATTCCAGGGATGTGGCATCTATCACATCTCTGGGCAGCCTGTTCCACTGTTTTACCACCCTCATCATAAAAAATTTCTTCCTTAAATCCAGTTTGAATCTACGCTCTTTTCATTTAAAACCATTAGTCCTTGTTCTACCACAACAGGCTCTACTAAAAAGTCCATTGCTGTCTTTCTTACAAGCCTTTTTCAAGCATTGAAAAGCAGCAATAATGTCTCCCCAGAGCCTTCTCTTCTCCAGCCTGTCCTCAGAGGTGTTCTACTCCTCTGACCATTTTTGTGGCCTTCCTCTGGATCAACAGATCCATGTCTTCCCTGTGCTGAGGGCTCCAGAACTAAACACCAGGTGGGGTCTCACCAGAGCAGAGTAGATGTGCAGAACCACATCCCTCAACCTGCTGGCCACACAGCCTTGGATGCAGCCCCAAATACAATTGGCCTTCTGGGCTGCAAGTGCACTTTGCTGGTTCATACCCAGCTTTTCATCCATCAGTATCCCCTAGTCCTCTTCTGCAGGGCTGATCTCAATCCCTTCACCCCCCAGCCTGTATTGATACTGGAGGCTGCCCCAACCCAGGTGCAGGACTTTGCACTTGACCTTGTTGAACGTCATGAGATTCACGTGGGTCCACCTTTTGAGCTTGTCCCGGTCCCTCTGGATGGCATCCTGTCCCTCAGGGGTGTCAACTGCACCACTCAGCTTGATTTAATGTGCAAGTTTGCTAAGTGTGCATCCCATTCCATTATTGAAGATATTACACAGTATTGGTCCCAATACAGACTCCTGAGGGACAGCACTTGTCTCTGATCTCCATCTGGACATTAAGGCATTCACCACTGCTCTCTACCTGAGAATTGGTTGGATAATGATTGCATCAAGATAGGCAACTTCCACACTTGGGCTGAGTAACAGTGACACGATTTGCTGGAGTTTATATATGAGATGGCAATGGCAAAGAGTTCAAGTGAAAGATAAGCTTCCATTCTTACAGAGCAGTTGCAGACTGGAGATCCAACCGTTTGCAGTAGACATTATGTGGGCTGACACCCTAGAAAACAAAAGCTTGCTTATGCTGTCCTACCCAGGCATCAGTTCCAACAGTAACTAGTTGGCTTGAGGCAAATCCTTCCCAGAAGAATATTAAAAATTTAAAAGCATGACCAACTAGTGCTCAGGCCTGCACCCTGGTCACTCTGTTATCTCACATACTAATAATGTGCAGCCTTCATTTCAAAGCACAGGCACTGCCATCAGCTTTATATCAGCAAGTAAAATCTCCAACCCAACAGTGAAGCACGTCTTCCAGTCTATAGAAAGTAACATCTTACTGTTTTAGAAGACAAAATGTTAAAGGTAATTATGAAATTCAGTATCAGTAATTACCAAGTGGAGTGGTCCTGGTGGTGGGCTGGGTATTAAAAATAATTTTGCTGCAAATTCTTTTACGTGTTCCTCAACATCGAAATCCTTGAAAGGCCGCAGTTGCACTAGTAAGCTGAAATTCAATTAGAGACAATTACTTATAAATAATAACATGCAAACAGAAAAGAAAAAAAAAAAAAAAGCTTTTTTGCCGATAAGCCAGAACTGCAAAAAAAAAAAATTAATTAGAAGCAATGGAGCTATTATTCCAGTAAATTAATTTCTAATTTATTAGCTACTTTGAGTGGTTCCATTTAATTTTAATAATGATGCTTTGTCAGAAGAAGGGTTGTTTTTTTTTTACTTCCAAGCATAACATCCTACTGCATCATATAAATCAGAGAGTGCAGACAGGACATGGGGTCTCATGATGGCAAAGAAAACCTAGAGGGGAAAGACAACTAAAGGAACTGTCTTACAGAGACTGCTTAAGGAACGAAACACCTGCAGCTGCAATACATGGTGTTTCTCCCACCTCAAGCATCAGACTTCAGCTCTGGGATGGAAAACAACATCAGAGGAAAAGAGAGGCTGGGCTTAACTGCAGAGGAATGTGAAGCAAGAGCCATATTTAACCCAAGGCCCAGGCCTGCAGGAACTCTGCTCATTGCTATTGCTCCTGCCCATACAAAGAATAAATACAGGAGTGCAAACCTAAGAAATGTTTCTGGTTTAGAACTGTAGCACCTGAGCTGTGTCAAAGCCACAAAGGTGATGTGGTTTATATCATATGCCAGACCAATTCATGAATATTTAAACATACACACTATTAAGACTGCAAATCGTTAAGTCCAACAGCATTTCTGAAATGTAACAGGAAGTTAGATATTTGTAGTCAGAAAGGGCATTTTGTTCAATACGTGATTCATGCGCATATTAATAAGCAAAAAAGAAAAAAGAAATTACCCCAAACCCTTACAAAATCAGAAATGTAAGCCTACAAATCTACATATATGGAAACTAGGAACTTAATATGGTTGTATTCTCCTTTGAAGGTTTATTTCAGTTTTAAGTTTTACTGGCTTCCTACAGAAAGTGCTTGTTTTTCAGGAAGAAAACAGTCTAGAAAGAAACTGACTAAGTCAAGAGACATACGAGAATCCAGGACATCATATTCACGTATGGCATTTAGATTCCTGAATAAAAATATTCTGTTGGATTAATGGGATTGGGTTGGATTAACAAGACATTCAAATTCATTAAATTCAGTTTTGGAAACTTCCCTGGGCTGAGCACGAGGCAATTTCACAAACCCTAAAAGTGCCCGTTAGCTATTTAGGGGCACAGAGGAGACAGGGGGAGGGGAATTCAAGAATTATCAAGGAAAACCAGACAGTAGAGTCACCCTTTTAAACTAGTTTTGCTTTTGTTTTTTTGTGTGTGTGTACTGCTGTTCACACTCAGTAACACCTTAGATGTGGCCTAACAGCATGTGAGGACTTGGGGGGGAGGGATTTTTGAGACAAAAAGCACATTCAGTAAATGTCACAACAAAAGCAACCTGACCCCAGTGCTGAAAAAGCAGCAGATGTACAGGCAGGAAGGTAAGAGCTCTCTAATCAGTGCACTGTGCCCATTAATGCAAAGTAATAGCAGCTGCCAGCACTGCAAACATCTGATGAAATAAATGAAGTAATCTCTGAAACATCAAAGTGGAGAGCTAAGGAGTTTATGAACCTTCCATTACCTCTACTAACTGTCCACACACAGATGTTTCAGAAAGCCAGAACATCTATGAACAGGGCTTTTGTACTGCCTGAAAGCTGGGAGCTATTTGCACTCTTCTACATTTTCTCAAGGCAGCTGAAGGGACTAATACACAGGTTGGAAGTTGATCTGTTTGAATGGAGCCTATTCATCCATCCATCCATCCAAGATGGGAGTTGATCCAGAGGACATTATTGCCAGGAATACCTCACTTTTCATGTAGTGTAACAGATTGAGGTAAGACTACCTGTGCAAAGTGCCAAAACCTCTCAGTTTAAAACTGTAGCTCTTCAAAAAGAAAAAAAAAGAAAAAAAGAAAAAAAAAAGAAAAAAAAAAGAGATGTGGAATAAACCAACAGCTGCAGTGTTGTGAAACAGTCTGGATGCAGATCTGCTTGCTGAGGGGAGAGGCAGACACACTCCATTCAAATTGCACTGGATTTGGAAGCACTGAACCCTAGTAATGTGTGAATTCATGCTAAAATTAATTACACAGAATACGAAGACCTTCATTACAATGATGAAAATCTGAAAGCTCCCCTTGCAGTCCAAAGCACCTGGATTCATAGTTTGATGTTGCCTTCGTATCCCAGTTTGGTCTCAGTTCTCAGTTGTGATTCGTACTATACCCTGCCATTTGAAATAAATTAGGAACCTGGGTTTTATATGGGAATGCTTATGGCAATCAAATAGGTTTGAGAACTCTTCTGAATGAAAAAAAAGTACCCCCTCCCCCCCATTTATAAGAAATCCTGTGCACTGCAGGTGCTGGAGATAAACTATGCACAGCAGAATTCTGGAGGACAATGAGGTATTTTGCTGCAAAAAAGATCCTGGATGGAAGCAGAACTACTTTAAATGCTACTTCAACACCAGGCCTTCATTAGTGAAAATAAACAGCATTTTTTCCACTAGTTCTCTCAAGGAAAAGGCTACGAACTAGGTATCAGTGGTTTGAGGTCCACCAGCAAGTGTTTTCAAATCCCCAGTCTCACAGAATGATTAGTCAGTTGAAGCATCCAGCAAACCACTACTGAGGCATCCCAAGGATACAAGGGTGCTGTTGAAGGTGTTATTATTTATTAAGTATAGAAGGCACTACTGCTTTGAGTATACTCAATGAAAACCTTTCATTAGATTTTTAACCCACTGGCCACCTGATTGCAGTTAAGGCAGAAAAAAAAAAAAAAAAAAAAAAAAAAAAAGAGAATCCCTCCCTTTCTGGTTTACAGGAAAACAGTGGCAATGTTTTGTAGTGTTACAAAAAGCTGAAACATCCCCACCTGTAAAGGGCATTGTATTCAAATTCATCACTGAGGTCTTTACTGTAATAACTTATATTCTGTTCAGAACAGCTACGTCCCAGCAGCTGTTTCATGCCATATGGAAAAAATGTATGTAACAAAACCTAAATAAGGAAAACTGGTACCACTCCACCCCTTCCTTTCCTCCTACTCAAGTATACTCTAGAACAGTAAAACACCATTTCTAAAAAAAAAAAAAATTAAAATGGAAGGGCAGACATTCTGAAATTATCTATCGTACACTAACAAGAAAAATATACATTTAAAAAAAAAAAAATCTGAAAAAAAATACCTTGGAAACTTAATCAGTTGAGTTTCCAGTACAGAAATACCAGCTTTTCCATCTGCATTGCCCTCTCCTGACAGCTACACACACTTGGATCTTGCATCCAGATGCAGCAGCAAAAAGGAGAGAAAAGCTGTGCAACTCTGTGACTAATTCCCCTGTTAGATCACCAAGACAACACACAGTACTAACTTGGAAGGCTACTATCCTGTCCCTATAATTATTCACATAATACAAACCACTTAAAGATTAGATGGTAGGTTACTGATAAAACCAAACTCCCCTTAGAAACCACTACAGACTCAGCTTAAAGGGAAAAGCCATCCAAATTAGTGAGCTTGAACATTAATGCTTTAAATTGTTGCAAAAACCTACTATATATGATGAAGGCAGAAATGTTTAATTATCACGTTTAAGCAGAAGCTTGCACCTCTAGAAAGTTAATTCCACCTGGCTCTTGTCTGGCCTAAACAAGCATGAGACCTATAAACATTTTCGTAACCTCTGGAATTTTCCATGGTTTTCCTGAGAATTTTCCTACCTCTCCCCTAGTGTGTTTTTTAAAAAATCCACTGGCAAATTGACTGCACCTCCCAGCTCAGAGGTGTCTCACTCCAGAGACAAAATCAGTACTTTATAAATGTACTTTATAAACCACTGATGCACACCCTAAGTGTTTCACAGCCAGTTGCAGAGTGGGATGAGCCCTCATACAGGCTGAGGTCACTGTAAGAAGCAGTTATGAAGACAGATTTAAGCAGAAGAGCACCACAGCTCAGGTGTAGAGCTGTAACAGTTACACATGCAGATCAGCATTTCCTTGGGATTTGAGGCTACAAAAAGGGAGGAATGAATCAGCTCCTGCAATACCAACAGTTGATGTAATTGATTTAAATATGAGGAGTGGAAAAAGTGATCTGGGCAGGAAAGGAGAAAGGAAAACAAACATTTCCTTTGTATTTTACTGAAATAATCTTGATTTTGCACTGACCTGTGAATGTCTAGTTTCCATCATGTCGAAGTCCCTTGTCCACCTTAAATCTTTTACTAATGCTTTGAAAATGACAGAGCAGAGGTAGGATGAATAGCATCAGTGGTGTCCTCACTCATCATGAAGGGCTCCCAGAGTGACTCACTTCTGATACCACAAAAGCTTTTGTGGAGACAAGATGTGAACTGCCCAGAAGAAAGGTCCTGCTTTGCTCCTCCAAGGCACCCTTCATCACCCAGTCAGTGCTGCAACCAGATCCAGACCCATACCATGGGGAAGAAGAGGTGTGTGTGGTGGGGAAATGAGTGCCCAGGTGTCACCCTGGAATGGAGTCAGGTCAGGGGGTAGTGATGCACCTCAGCTAGCACCCAGGAAGCACACCCTTGCTTGGTCATCTGCTCAGCACACTGACTGCCACCAGAACACACTGGAAGACTCAAACTCTGACCTAAAACCCTAATGTCTTTCAACTTAGACACAACAAGCAAATACCTGCAAAAGAAAAGCATCTGACTTTAATTTTACTCCAGAAAACTTGACTGGAATTCAGTAGAAAAAAAAGCAACACCTCTTCTACCTTTGGACCATAAGTCTGCAAGTTAAGATTACTCAGCAATGTCCAATGTACAGAGACTGGCTCCCTCATGCAAGGAGTTTTTAATCCATTCGGTAAAAGAAGCATAAAAGATTTTAACACCTTAACAATAAAGCAACATACAACTTCAAAGTAAGTTAAATTACTAAATAGCAAGACAGACTCATGTTCACTTATGTTTCAACTCATTTACACTGCAGAGTATCTGAGTGTTTCTAACAAGTGAAGTACTCTCTATCCTAAGATTTTCTCTCCCAGTTCTCAAAAGGCCAAGTAACCACTATAGTCCCTCAAGCAACTTGGATTATTTAAGGAATAAAGTGTCACTGCTCTGTACCTGGGAATATCATGGAACAGATCCTCCTAGAAGACGTGTTAAGGCACATGAAGGACAGGGAAGTGATCCAGGACAGCCAGCATGGCTTAACTAGGGGCAAATCCTGCCCGAACAACCTAGTGCCTTTCTACAAAGCAGTGACTGCGTCAGTGGACAAGGGAAGACCTATGGATGTCATCTATCTGGACTTCTGCAAGGCCTTTGACACTGTCCCTCACAACATCCTTCTCTTTAAGTTGAAGATATATGGGTTTAATGGGTGAACTGTTCAGTGAATAAGGAATTGGCTGGATGGTCACATCCAGAGGGTAGAGGTCAATGGCTCAATGTCCAGATGGAAAATGGTGACAAGTGGTGTCCCTCAGGGGTCTGTACTGGGACCAGTGTTGTTCCATATCATAGAAACACAGAATGCCAGGTTGGAAAGGGACATCAAGGATCATCTGGTCCAACCTTCCCAGGTACTACTATAGTTTATATGAGGTGGCTCAGCACCATGTCAAACTGAGACTTAAAATGGTCCATTGTGGGGAAATCCACCACTTCCCTTGGGAAACTATTCCAATGTTTGACTGTCCTTGTGGGGAAACATTTACCTCATGTCTAATCAGAATCTCTCCAGGAGCAACTTGTGCCCATGATCCCTTGTTTTTTCTGTGCGATTCCTTGTAAATAGGCAGACTTCATCTTCTTGATAGCCACCCTTTAAATACTGGAACATGGTCATAAGGTCTCCCCAAAGCCTTCTCTTCTCAAGGCTGAACAAACCCAGTTTTCTCAGCCTCTCCTCATATGGCAGCTCCTCCAGTCCTCCAACCATCCTTGTGGCCCTTCTCTGGACCGTCTCCAGCCTGACCCATCCTTTTTGCAGAGCAGGGACCAAAACTGGACACAATACTCCAGGCGTGGTCTGAGAAGCACTGAGTAGAGCAGTATGATGACTTCCTGCTCTCTGTTGGTGATGCCCTTGTTGGTGCAGCCCAGCATCCTGGTGGCCTTCTTGGCTGCAGCAGCAGACTGTGCACTCATGTTGAGCCTGTTGTCAGTATCTTCATTAATGAAATTGCCAGTGGCATTGAGAGCACCCTCAGCAAATTTTCTGATCCCACCAAGCTGGGTGGTGGAGGGATATGCCAGAGGGATGGTATGCCACCCAGAGGGACCTGGACAAGCTGGAGAATTGGGTCCAGGTGATTCTGCCCCTCTACTCTGCCCTGGTGAGACCTCACCTGGAGTGCTGTGTCCAGCTCTGGAGCCCCCAGCACAAGAAAGGTGTGGATCTGTTGAGCATGTCCAGAGGAAGCAATGAAAATGATCAAAGGGAGGGCTCTGGAGCACCTATCTGATGAAGACAGGCTGAGGGAGTTGAGGTTGTTCAGCCTTAAGAATAGAAGACTCTGGGGGGACCTTACAGTGACCTTCCAATACCTGAAAGGGGCCTGTAAGAAGGCTGGGGAAGACCTGGTCACAAGGACATGTAACAGGACAAGGGATAAAGGTTTCAAGCTAGAAAAGGGTAGATCTAGGTTGGATATTAGGAAAAAGTTATTTAATATGAGAGTGGTGGATCATTGAAACAGGTTGCCTACAGAGGTGGTGGGGGTCCCATCCCTGGAGATGTTCAAGGTCAGGCTTGATGGGGCTCTGAGCAATCTGTTCTAGTCTGACATGTCCCTGATTATTGTAGGGGGGTTGGTCTAGATGACCTTTAGGGGTTCCTTCCAAGCCAAGACATTCTATGATTCTATGATTAACTGCTTATTAGTACATATATTCATATTTTTATGACATTTATCTGGTGCATTAGAAGAGGTTTTGCTGGTTTCAAAGTGATTTTCACCAGCATGTAAAAAATGCAGTTAACCCTCCTTCGAAAAAAACCCCAAATCTTTGAGAGATCCTGCAAATTCGTATTTTCTAGACTTACAAAAAAACCTCAAAGAAAATGAAGACAATATCATAACTAATTTCCTTGATGTTTAGAACTTGCATTCACTGTCTGGGTAACACTGACATTAACATCTTCTGTTCCTCTCCTACACATCTCACACTACCATAAACTGAAACTAAGGCCTGTTTTACCATTATGCAGCTACCCTGAGCACATTAAACAAATTCATGTATTAAAGCCTGCACAGTAATTCCCAGGAGAAACACACAGGATAGCAAGTCTTACCAAGAGAGGCAATCCTTCAGGGCATTAAAATATGGATATCTGGATATAACACAAATCGCAAATGGTACAAAACACACTGGCATCTTCCCAGTCTGTGCAGATTCCCAGTGGGCCTGCCCATTTGAGGACATCCAGCCATCCTGCAAGAAAACTACAGATTAATGTGTTTATGATGATCATGAATCTATAGCTAATATTTTCTTGAGAACCCTAGAGATGTGATGCCCAATTCTAAATTTCAAGGGGATTTTAATGTCTATCTTTCTTAAGCTCTTCAGAAAATATAAGCCTTCAAGACTTGGACATACATAGCAAAAAATTTCAGTGGAAAAGATATTTAGAAAAAAGATGTCCAAAAAAAGATGTCCAAGGGACAAAGACTGCTCCAAAATATTCAAAACTCCTAACTGAAATCCATGTCTTTCCTAATGCAATGAAATTCCAGTGTACTTAATTTACAATGGCAATATTACGTATAATTTGTTCTGTATTCCCACTAACAAACCATGTCTATTAGCTAATGCCATAAATTAAACTTGATATTATATTGCCAAGTGGTTTTTTTGCCTTACTTAATACTTTTAATATGCTTTAATAAAAGCCTGAGTTAAATAACATACTTGCATAGGCTGGTAGTACTGTGCAACAACACCGTATGTTCTGTTACCACAGACATCTGTGAAGACCAGGAAATGAATGTGGTCCTCTTTTGATTCAGAAGTTACATAAAGTCCTCCTGCAATGAAAGCAGAAACCTTTTTTTTTTTTTGAACTACATATTTAACTACAGCTGCTTGAAAATCAATTCATGACAAATAGTGTACATTTCCACTTCAGACTCAAAAGAAATGTCATATTTTAAGAGATCAAAATGCACATGTACAATCCATTTGCTCTGAATTTGTTACAAAGGCTGTAAGCTACATGGTACTGAAGAAGTAAAAATATTATATCGTTATTCTGCATAATAAGTGGTAAAATACAATAGATCAGGTTTGTTTACTTTTTTCCTTTCAGGTTATCTATGGTCTACAATAGTGACATGGATATTAAAATGTCTGCAATTAAACCCAGAGGAAACAGTCACTACTTAGGGTATATCTTAGTACTAAATGAAAAGTGAAAGAGTGCTCAGTCATTTGGAGGGGGGAAGGGGTGAATTACAAGTGCATGCAGTTCACTCAAACCAAGATTTACCAGTAAAGGCTAAAGGGAGAAGGGACTTTTAGTTTCCCTGTCTTGCAGGTGTTGCAGCTACTGCTGCTAATAGACCTGTTTGACACCACAGAGTAAGGGCACTCCAATCAGGCAGAGCTGCTTTCATCATGGACCTGCTCATAAGCAGACACATTTTTTATACCATGAAATATAAAAATACAGAGAATACAATATTTATTTTTTTAAATGTAGCTGTGATAATGGTAAAAAAATATATATTAAAACACTTCTCATTAAGAAATGTGAGCCTCTCCATACCTGGGAAGCATAGCTGTGGCAAACCAATAAGATCAATGTCCTTTGGGACTGTAATATCTTCAGTGTCAGGTGCTTTCTGCTCCCCGTTGAGACTCTTGACATTTTCAATCTTTGGTCTCTCTTTTTTCTTTCGGAAAGACCGGCGTTTACTTTTATTCAAGGTATTCCCAGCATTATTCACCTGAACATCATCTCTGCTAATAAATGGAGGCACAAATACAGAAAGAACTTCTGGATCAAGAGGAGGAAGACTTTTGAGTTTTCTTTGAGTACCCTATAAAAACAAAAAATACAAACAACCACTAAGTTAATGCTCATCCTGATAGTTTTTTCAAACCATTTTATGCCCTATTTTCTCTCTACCCCTAAAACTGTGTATTTTGAATACATTTTTTATTCTTCCTTAACTATTTCTTCCTTCTCATTTCTTGCTTTACATGTTAATGTCAGGGGAATACTCATTTTCAGTAGGTAAAAAACAAAAGCATTCTTCATCATTCAAAATGCACCATATCAGCAAGTCCAGAGGAGGCCACAAAGATGATCATAGGGCTGGAGCAGCTCTGCTCTGGAGAAAGGCTGAGAGAGCTGAGGTGTTCAGCCTGGAGAAGAGAAGGCTCTGGGGAGACCTTAGAGCACCTTCCAGTGCCTGAAGGGGCTCCAGGAAAGCTGGAGAGGGGCTTATTACCAGGGTGTGCAGTGATAGGAAGAGGGGTAACAGTTTAAAACTGAAAGAGGTTAGATTTAGAGTAGACATTAGGAAGAAATTCTTTAGTGCGAGGGTGGCGAGACCCTGGCACAGGTTGCCCAGAGAAGCTGTGGCTGCCCCAGCCCTGGAAGTGTTGAAGGGCAGGTTGGATGGGGCTTGGAGCAACCTGGTCTGGTGGGAGGTGTCCCTGCCCATGCAGGGGGGTTGGAACTGGATGATCCTTAAGGTCCCTTCCGGCCCAAACTATTCTGTGATTCTATGATTATAGCTTCGGCGTAAGAAAACTAACAAACATCAAGTAAGGTATTTCCTCCTTTGAAATGTTAGTATATATTTAAGCTATACTTAAAACACCGGTAGTAAGAGTAATCAGGCAACAAATAACTTAAAATAAACACCGGTAGTAAGAGCAATGAGGCAACAAATAAATGAAACAAAGAAAAACAGCTGAACTCCCTAGATAAGTCTTTGTTCATCTTTAGGGAAA